TCTAAGAGCAAAAACACACATAAATTCTCAGCAATTATGGACAACAGTTAAAGCAAAATCAAAACCATATCTGTAAATGATTTAATTGAATCCCTCACATGTAAAGAATTTCCAAGACTCAATGGTTTCGTTTCTCTCTCAAATCACCAAAGAAACGATTCTATAGATCAGATTCTTCCGAGATTACATACAACATAACTCAAAGGTTTGACCTTTAATCATTAGCTCTTCTCATCCTCCAACCGCAGCATATAGTATGATACGTCTTAAAGCCCCGGGACCATCAAGAAGAAGGGTTGAGCCACCGAGATTGTGTTAACTCACTGGACTGGTGAGAGGAGAGAGTATCATTGCTTGTTGTGTACCTTAAAGCCGAAGATTTTAGGAACGTAGGTTTGAGTCGGCTTCTGCGGTTTCATGTTCCCATAAGCCATGAGAAATAAATGAGGGAATGTAGTCCCAAAGTAAGCTCCATCAATATCTGCAATAAGCATTAAGGAAAAAAAACACTAAGACAAGTAGACAATACTCTGATATCTTCCAAAGATCAATGCAAGCAATCAAGCCAATCGCAATGTTTTAAACCGAACAATAGCAGAAATGCATCATGTAAAAGCCTTTTGAACAAAGGAAAAAAGGATACTGCCTTGGTATTTGGATCGCGGGTAGTAAATATCCTCGCATTTCGGGCAGTATATCTTCACCGTGCTCGACCTCGGGATATCAGATTGTCCAACCGGAAGACAAGATTGCCCGCAACAGAAAACTCTCGGGCATCTCCCGAAATCATAGTTTTTGTACTTCTCCAACTACAAACAGATTCAGCAAAAGATCCAATAAGAAACTAAACGGTGACAAACACATAAAGAAGAAAACTAAAGAACTCTTTTCTTCTTTACCATAGCAGCCATTCCTTTAGTTGTGAGAATGTAACGAACATGAATAAGACCGTATAACATCTCAGCAGCTGATTCAACCATCTCATTCTGTTCTTCAGTAAACATATCACCTAATTTCGAAACAAAATTCCCCTAAAGATCAGATAAAACTAAAACCTTAATTTCAACTCAATGGAGGAGAGACCTTTCTTCACTTACCATTTGATGATTCAACATCTAATATAAGATCAAGTGCATAATCATAGTAAGGAACTTGACCACTTAATCCACAAAGATTGAAATCATCTTGTATATAATCTTCATCTACTTCACAGAAAAACTCATTCCCTCTCAAATTACAAAACCAAGAGATCCACGAAGTATCATCATCGTCACCTTCTGAACCACTCACATCTGATCCTTCACTATCAGTTTCAGATTCAACTACACAAAAACACAAATCAGAAATCAGACCCTCAGATACTAAAAAATTGACTGAGATTTTAAAAGCAATCAAAAAAAGGTAAAACCTTGAGGTGAACGAGGAGGAAGATGAGATTTAGCAGTGGAAGTTGAAGCAAAAAAGGAATCTTTGTCTTTAGAAACGAAAACCCTAGATGTAGAAGAAGGTGAAGATTTCTTAAGATGTTTGTCTAAAGCATCATTGATTCGTTTCCGATCAATAGCTCCACCACCAAGGATCTCCGATCTCGATGATCCACCACCACCCATTATTCCTCCACTACGATCCTTGTACATAACTCGATTCCGATGATTAGATTCTCAAAGTCTGAGACTTTCTTATCATCAGAGAAAGAAGAGAGGCGGAGAAATCTAGGGTTTAATTTCTTGATCACACACACAAGAGTAGAGGAAAGAGAAGAAGAAGAGGTAAAAGAGAAGTACTCTGCTTTTCCCTGTGG